CCCACAAGTTCAAGGTCACTCAAGCCCTAATGGCAAGCAAGGTCTATGTGTGATCACATCTTAGAGATGAAGTCACATATTGAAAAGCTGGGAGAGTTGGGTGTCAAAGTCTTGAGAAAGTTGGATGTTCAATCACTTTCTAAGTCACATAGTAAGTTCCTTTGGGACTACTATGAAACATACTATGACATGAACCTTAATGATCATATATATTTGCTTGGTGCTGCTGAATCAGCAATGATTTGGAACGATAGTAAAGCAAATTTGATTAGAAGATCAACTTCCCAAAAACTTTATGGGCAGTGACAATGGTGACACTGGAAATCCAGAAAAAACATTCTCTTCCCAATGGAAAGGGATTGGCCATAGTCAACCCGGTTGACCAAATGGTAAAGAGAAAGGCTAACTCTGAGATAGTCCCATTACCAAAGGGTCCATATATTTATTTTGCCAAAGGAAGGGGCGTTGATTGCAAAGCTGCCAAATTTACCTAAGGATGTTAAAGTCAATAAGTTTGACTCTACATCAGGTAGAGCCCATTATCTAACTCTGTTAAGTTCTATTATGAGATCCTCATTATATGATGTGACTGGGTCACATGTTGATGTTTTAAGAATTCAAAGAATAGAGAGAAATCTTAAAGGAAGTATATGTTGATTCTGATCGCGAAGGTCGATTTCGATTGCATCAGAATTTTTAGCAAGGAATAGATAACAACAATTTTCCATTTGGATTGTAAGGATAAGTTTTTCCGCAAAGTTTTAAAATAAAAGAAAATTGTTTAATTTTATTTATTTGAAGTATCCTTACAATGGTATTTGTGGAAAATTGTTGCTTATATAATTCCACTGACAACAATATTGGAAAATGGATTTGGTTCTTTCATTTGTGGTAGTGTCTAAATTTACCAAATCAGGAAAGTTCCTCATCGCCCAAGTTTCAATTGGACCGAAACTTGGAATCATGCAAGTTGAATAGTATGATGAATGAGAACTTTCAAGCATTGGAAAATCAATACTAATTACTTGTTCACATGGATGTGTGAGTCAAGTGAAGGACTAAAGGGATCGAGTACACATTCTTGTGCACTGGTCATGTCCACCACAAAGCTCGTTCAGACTATTTGATTTACTAAAGTTTAGTAAATATGGTTACACTTACAAGTTTAAGTATAATTCTGAAACATTGGAAAAGTCTCAATGTATGGCAGAACGAATGAGAAGAATCAAATTAGGCAGAAAGATAAAAGTTTTCTCAAATCTGAAAGATGGGAGAGTACTTTAGTATCATGTTTTGTGATCATATTAATGATTTAAGAACCACATCACAATTGGTCTTCTAAGGACATCTTAGTGCATTCTTATGACTAAGAAGAAGAGTCATGATTTGTTGAAATGGTTAAGTCAAGGAGATGAGTCATACTTCGTTTCAAAACAAGTCTTAGAGTCATACTCCAAGACTATAAGTTGAGTGGCATATCTTAAAGAAAGGTTTATAACACTTGTCAAATGTAAGAGTAAAAGTGTCCTACTCTTGTACATTTGAAGTTGGTAAGTTGTGATGTTTTGGATTAAATAAAGACCAACTAAGGCCAATTGTGTGAAGTGTTTGTCTTGATAAAGAATCCGCACTATCTCTTGAATATTTGGCAAGATAGTCTTATATGTCAAGAGGACAGTGGGCGTCTTAAAGATCCTAAAAAGAATTTCAAGAACTAATCAAGAATAAAACCTGAGGTTCTTCACTAGCACACGACTTGAGGTTTATAACCTATCATGTTGACATATTTTGTGCCCATTCCAGTTAAAGTTGGCTTTGCATAGGAGTTCTGAAAGTTCTCAATTGGTTGCATAACAACTTGGAAGCAATGGCAGGCCCTGTACTGCCAGGTGGCAAGAAGTTAAGATTGCATAAGTTCAGTCCATATGAGTTTAGATTTGTCATTATCCTTGTCTTGTGACTATGGTTTTGATGATTCACATGGATAAGAACACATACACCATAAAATCTAAGGGTCATAAGGTTTCTCTCCGATTCATGAAAATGATGGTGAGGAAACACTTCCACCAAGTAGATTTGAAGCAAAATGGCAAAAGGTCTAAACAATTGAGACTATGATTACGGCATCCCTTTTCATAGTTCTGAAATTGTTTAGACACACATGCATGCTATCTAAGGAAAGGTGTATGATTTTGATAAAGTTTTATCAAAGCATCTCGTATCAGAAATCTGAACTTTTGTTAGGAAGTCAATAAAGTATTGATTTCTAGAAGTGCAGCTGATTTCTGAGTACATGTCAAAGCTAGTGGGAGCATAAGTGTTATGCTAATAATCATCATGTTAGTGGGAGCATGATAATTATTGTTAGTGTTGCAAGTTAGCAATGTTAATTATAGAAAACAGAAGTTTCAATTCGTGAGGCTGCAGGGATTGAAAAAGTTGTTTTGCCATAATTAAGGGAGAGGATATACTTCATTTCAGTTCTAAAGGCTTAGATTGAGACCTTAATCATCTTTAGTCAAGAATATATATATGAATTTCATGTTGGATTGGTTCAACTTAAGGAAATTCTATATATTGTGTTCTCAAAATTCGATTATGATTACGGCATCCCTCTTCATAGTCAAATTTTGAAAACATGGCAAATAAAAATATTGTAGCAAAAGACTGGTCTAGAATCATGCCTTTATGTGAGACATCATGAATCGTGTACCATTTGCTTTGGGTACAGGATCGATTTCATGTGCTATAATATTTGTCATTTCTAAATTTTTCCAAATGCCCAGAGACATTAAGAAGGGAAAAGGTCTAGAATTGGATATGACTAAAATGATTAAGCAATTGTCGAGGACAATCTGAAGTTTACCAATGATTGGCTGCTCAGGGACAGTTGGAAGTATAGTGCTAATTGTTGGAAGGACCATATTGACATATTCTGAAAAGAGGCATCTCTTATTCAGAAGTGATAGTCAAAATGAGAATATGGAGTTGTCTCCATAGGTGGAAGTTATCTGTGTAAGATTAGAAAACTTAATGCAAGAAGCATGTCCAAAGCAATGTACTTTGAATATGAGACTTAGTTTCCATGGAGTTGATCTCCATTGGAATACCTTATATGTCAGTGCATATAAGTTTAAAATCTAAACAGATTTCGATAAATGATAGGAATTTGAAATTCTCACATTTTTCGATAAGGATTTGGGAGTGTGAAATTAGAATCATTGAAATTATGTTCAATTGGTTTATTTCACAAAGTAAGGATCATAGACAAACATAGAGTGCATACTTGGTGTATAGCAAAGCTATTGTTTAAGAAAAACATAGTGTACATGCTTGGAGCATGGGACAACTAGTGTTTTTAATTCAAGTATAAAGTTGATAAAACCGAAACAATGAATAATGAGTAATCGGTATGGTGATAAATAAAAGTGTTTATTTATATTCATAGGGTTTGATACCATATTTGATTCATTTATTCTTGTGTTTCACTTTGCATGTTTTGACTTCCAGAATAACTAAGTCGCTCTTCCTGAATGATTAAGTTATTCAAACCATCCACAGTCGGTCATATGTTGGAAGTAGATATGAATCAAGACTGTCATGGGTTGGTTTGTAGCGGTCCAAGTTGGTGGACAAAGTGGTGCTACAACACTCATGAGTGCTCATAAGTTCTGAGTATTGGATTTAACCCGCACTCATTTGAATCACTTCATGGATTTTATCACGAGTGATCATGAGACGATAATATCTTATATTCTTCAAACCTAGAGATATGAGTTATTACTATGAGTTGGTTGTACATTGATTGCACGAAAACGCATTCGGTAACTCGATGTTATAAAACGTGCCTTTGTGTATGATTCAACAAGTAGTAGAACAAGCCATATGAGTCGAAGTTTATCCATTCCATTTACCTTCAGGATAAAAGCGATATTTGTGGGCCCCTTGATGATTTAAAGATGATACATGTGAGTGTTTGGCCAAGCCATGACTGATTTGATTTGTTCAATCAGTCAGTCATCATGAATCGGAAATCGGGAAACAACAAATGGACAGAGAGAATGATTGATAATCCATGTCTCAGTCCATATGATATCTAGAATGGAGGAATATATGATCCCTTATCTAATGGACAAGTCATTGACAAAGGTCAGAGTTCATCGACAAGGTCATAGTTCGACAGAAGCTTTTGAGAGCTACGATTGGTGATCGATTCCTGAAGTCATACGCAATAATAGTTTTAGACTTATCCAAGTGGGAGACTGTTGGATTAATGTCTAAGTCGATAACTATGGTAAGACTTGACCCGACCCGGCATGGTCCATTTAGGTTGCATGGCATCATGCATTTGGATAGACTATAATGAGAGAAATAACACTTAAGGTTGGTTAATATATTATAAGTTCTAATATATTAATAAGGTTATTTAATTAGTATTGATCAAGAATTAATTTGGAATTAATTAAGTGATCAAAAGGAGACTAATTAAATATATGGGTTGATTGTGTAAAACCATTCATTCTTATATATGTGGGCTTGTGATCCAAGATTTCTTATGTTGGACTAAGTCCATGGGGTGACCCATGGATACTCCATGGAGGTTAAAATCCATGGAGCATAAGGAATGGGTAAAGTTATGAGTTACATGGTGTAACCCAAATAGCCACCATATAAAAGAATCCCATGGCTCAAGAAATCGTGCACTAATGTGTGAATATGAGGGCTAGACGATTTCAAGGAGTGTTCCATTTCTCTCAAGTCATTCCAAGTGCATTTGGTGTTGTGTGAACCATTTGAGGTGTCACACTTGGGGCACTAGGCACTCAAGCTTCATGGAGACAAGCTACATCAAACAAAGGTATGTATTCTATCCATTTGATTACCCAAGTATCAAGTATTGTATGCTAGATAGGGTAATACCTTGGAAAGTTCATAATTGCATGTATAATAGAGAAAACATAGATCCAAGGTATTTAGGGTTGCATGTACACTTAGGAGTGTTAGAATGCGCAAAACCCATCACGAACCCCATGGTCTATGAGCCGCTGTGCCAATCGCTTAGCACTATCAAATGTAGTGGGGTGTGATGCCAAAACATTTCCCTGGTACGGTGGCATCAGCCCCCATATATATCTCTCGATTTTCTTTCCCTCAGTATGATCCATGTTGGGACAGAGGGCCACCAGTTCACAGAACCTGGCGGTATAAGAGACTACGTCGGAGCCCTTCATGGTTAGGCTCCACAGTTCCTCCTCCAGCTTTTGGATATCACCCCTTGGGCAGTACTCTTCAATCATTAGATCTCTCAGAGTTTCCCATCCCATAGCATTAGCCACTATTAGAGATAGTGACTTGACATGGGTATTCCACCATGTCAGGGCTTTGTCTTCAAAGGTGCAAGCAGCGAACTTGACCTTGCTCCCTTCTGGGCAGGAGCAGATCTCGAAAACCGATTCGGTTTTCTCGAACCATTGCGAGAGGGCAATGACTCCGCCAGTCCCTCTGAAAGACTTGGGCTTGCAGTTGGTGAAGTCCTTATAGGAGCACTCTCTGGAGTGCACAGGGATTTCACCATGAGTAGATAGGAAAGGGGTTCCTCCTCCAGTGGAACCTGAGGAATGATATTGAGCCATGGATGTAGCCACAGCCGCAGCTACATCAACATTTAGAGCTGCTGTATCGAATTGAGGAGCAGGAGGTGTCGGTGCGGGAGGATCGCATCTTGTTGATTTACGTGGAGGCATCTTTTAACTATAAGTTTAGAAAGATAAAGATATTGATAAGAATGACTCATGGACTAACTCGCCATAGCCCAACAGCACAAGTGAGTAGCACGATTGAATAGTATGATTGAATGAAGATCTAGTACTAACAGATGATAGCAATTGGATATTGATTTCCATAGGATTAGATATCTGTCAACTATACTGGGATTACAGATGTAATGAGTTCGGGAAAAGTGACCTAGAAGTAGGTCTTACATCAACCAAGATGGAAAATTTTGACAGACTACTACCAAATCAAGACTTAACGGGTCTAAGATTAACAAAGATAGGAAATTAGACTAGAGTTTTTACACAAACTAGGTTATATCCGAAAGAGAATTCGATAAGACTCTATCAGCGACGAGAACTACTAGAGTGAGTTCTTGAATCCGACAGCAGGCGTTCTATGTCTCTCACGCGCCTATCAGATCTTGCTTGCTGAGCTCGAAGTTCCTTGACTTCAGCTTGGGTTTCAGCAAGTTCCCTCGGTAGAACTGCATTGCGGACCTGAACCTTTCATGAGCAGACTCTAGTTGGCGAATGCGGACTGTGTTAACGCCAGAGTTGGCGTCAACCTCCACTACTCGGTCAATAGCTGCTCGACCTTGCTCCGTGTTCCGAGCAATCCTACGGACCATTATGGGTAGGACCCTGTCAGCTGAACCTCCTTCAGTGAGGTTGTAGAAGCTTCTGTCTCCATGGTAGGGCATGGGCTGCCCCTGTTCCTGACTCCACCTGTTCAAGTTTCTGGCCCACAGAGGAGTGGGTCCTTGAAATGATGGACGAGGGTTCAGGTTTGGGTCTTGAGCAGCTGGGGGTAGGTTGTTGACTTTAGGCTCTAAGTCAAAACCATCAGAAAAGTCTTCAGCTTCATGATCATCCAAAGGGATTGGGTGATCATCTTCTGGCTCTTCTCCAAGCCATCCAGCATTGCCGTTGTTGGGGTAGTACGGGTCTCCGGGAAAGTGGAATCCAACCATAATATCTACGCGTGAAAAGGGATAAGGAAATAATCAATAGACAAACTAAATAGATAATTTTAAGATGATCTTTATCAGTTACTCCAACATTTGCGTAGTGCATACCAGTCATAGGTAACCTAGACAGGATGGACCTTCGAATAAGTGATCCTAACTCTAAGCCCACAACCAAACAAGGAACAGGAAGTAAAGCAAAGATCACAGATTCTAAGTCTATGATATCCTAGCCACATATAACCTTAGCGTATCCACTCCGCAACTATTGACATACTTAATAAAGACATTTAGTTCTCAGGTAAGTAATTAATAGTAACACAAAATACTCCTATAGTATTTTAAGTTTATGTTCTATTCTCCTGTTCTTGTTGTAGAAGTGTTGGTAAGTTTTTAGACTTGTTGCAACCTCACAACCACACTTAGGCACATGTTAATCACTCCTCGGATAATGTAGTTGATCAGGATACATCTTCCCAGGGTTGACCATATGTCTCTAAGTCTACTTGTGTTGTCCAACAATCGTAATACTTTTGTTATGTCCTAGTGACACTGATTTTAGTATGAATGCAGGTATCTATACTTGGTTAAATATTTTATTATTTAAAAGTATAAACTCTTTATCAGAGTATTTTAATCCCGCTGTGTTTATAGTTCGTATATCTTTTATGGGTTGATACACTCGATTCACTATAAACAATGCTCTGATACCAATCTGTCACACCCCAAAACCGGAACGGTGGAATTGTTCGGGGGTGGAGGACGTCATGTACAGTATCACAACAATGCAAAGTAGTAAACAAGCAACAACATCATCCATTGCTTTAATAATATAATTTCATACAAGTGTGTTTTGTCAAGTTATATAGACACCAAAAATAATATACATTAAAATAAAGATGAGTCTTGAACGAGCTCCATCTTCGCAAAAACCTGGCTCTGGTACCTGTCTACTGGCGACCTGAGAATACAAGTTATTTTGAAAGCGAGTATCAGCTTTAAAGCTGGTGAGATCATAAGTATATTAGTGTCTGTAGTTGTATGAAAGTGTTTGTAAGTTTGTAATTGTTTATGTTTGTAAAAGTTTGTAATTGTTTGAACTCTCCGAGAAAACCCTATGTTTCCTAGTAAAAGTAGCCTTCTACCAAGGCATCTAGTATCTGTGTGTGTGTCTCTTGTAAGAGTGTGTATTTTCCCAAATCCGACTATCATTAACCAAAAATATAGTTTTTACATTATTGTTTATTGTGTAAATATCACAAAGTAAATGTAATGGGAAAATGATATAGTACTGTAGTGTTGTATTAAGTAACTACTGCTGTACTAACTACTTTAAACCAATTGTTATTCAAAGTACCATGTGATCGGCCTGTATCCTGCTACCGACTCAATAGAAAAACGACGATGTAAGACGTCGTAAGAAATGACGTTTGGCACCCGTAGACTTGCAAGTCCCACTGTAACGAGCAGCAACGTGTAGGATATTCAATCCAGTATAGATCTATACACAAACTCATACGCTCCCCATTTAAGGAGATTCTGGATACAAAAACGGTCATGGCAGGTAGTGCCATGCCTCGTTAGGTGGCTCACATAACTGTAATAATGTATATGTAATTAATGTGCTAGCTGTATTGTATGTTCTACCTCTGTCTAGCCTGTATGTTCTCTCTGTATGGTATTGTTTGTTATCTCTTTCTCTGTATGGTATTGTTTGTTATCTCTTTCTCAGTAGTGTGTTGTTTGTTATCTCTTTCTCTGTATGGTATTGTTTGTTATCTCTTTCTCTGTATGGTATTGTTTGTTATCTCTTTCTCTGTATGGTATTATTTCATGTATGAAGTGACTCTTTGTATGTTTCATTGATCTAGTATTAGTATTAGTATCTTCCTAAACTACTCCTATAGTAGCTTACTAGTAATGTATGAACATGTATGTATACCCTTGCTACCCAAAGGTATGGAGATGAATGAAAGAAGGAACCTTTGTATCTATAAACATATACATAGTATATAATTAGGATTCAAACGACCTTCGAACAGATAACCCTAATACCCTAAGTCCACAACCAAACAAGGAACAGGAAGTAAGGTGAGCTATCAGTCCTAAGTCCTTTCAATCCTACTTATATAACTATATCTGTATAGATACACATTTAACAGAATATAAGTTTAAAAGAGTTTAAGTAAAAGTGTTTGACATGAAAAGGAGTTTGTAAAACAGTTTGAAGTAGAACAGTTTGGTAACACAGTTTGAAAAGTAAGAAATCCATTTGTTTGGTAGTTATTAATCACATGTGATTGATATAATAACTATAATAATTCAACTTGTATTCCCCCCCATAAAAGCATTTAAAAACATTTAAAAGGTTAATTAAGGGGTATGAACTCACCTGTAGTGAGTGGTTTGGATGAACTGATGATATAGGATTGCTAGGTGTCAAGTGAAGACTTGTACACACACAATGATCCTAGTTAACATATAATAACACATATATGTATCCAATTAGTCTTTAAACAACTAATTAATAAAGTTAAGACATCCTAGGGCATGAAAAACACTTTATATAAGTGTTATAAGTGCTAAGGATTGTATCTAAATGTTGTAGGACATTGCTATTGAGTTTAGGGTTCAAGGGAACCCTTTATATGAGTTTACGGTTTTGTGACTATAACTCATTGAGTTTACGGTCGTAAACCCATGAGTTTACGGCCGTAAACTCATGATTCTCATTGAGTTTACGGTTTTGGGGCACCATTTCACTCCTAAATGGAGTTTACGGTCCCTGTACCATTTGCCTTTCGGTTTACGGCCGTAAACCCATATGGTTTATGGTCTTTTGATGTTTTCAAGTGCTAAGCTCATCAAGGAAAGGATATATGCTAGTTTCCAAGGCTTAGAGGGGACTAGGGCACACTTTGGCACCCTTTTTAGGATTTACGGTCCAAGGTGTTCTTGAACCGTAAACACCTTTGATCCTTGGTTTCGTTGGTGTTTTCTTGATATACAGAAGTGTAACAAGCCTTATTATACTCTGGGATAAAAGTACTTACAAGATAGAGGCTTGAAAAGGTGTTAAAAGTCCAAGAGCACTAGTGTGTGTTCTTGGTGTTCTTGGTGAAACTTGAAGATCTAAGCTTTTGGAATAATTTCACGGATGGAAGTGTGTTAAATCACTAGATTAAGCAATATATCAACTTAAAAGGGCTAGAAACACTTACAAGTTGAAGATCTTGAAGAATTTGTTGGATGATACTTGAGAGAGAATTGAGTTTGGCTCTTGAATTTGTGAAAAATGGTAAATAATGACTAAGTGTCATATATATACCCCCAAAATAGGGTTTACGGCCGTAAACACCTTTGTTTAGGCCATAAACTCCAAACTCTTGGAGCTTTGGGACTTCATTGTTGCACAATAAACCCTAGAGCATCCTCTCTCCTGGTATCTCCTGAAGCACTAATCTTAAAATACTCAAACTTATTCCAAAAAGCTTGAAAATTAGCAGAAACAGTTTTGACTCCTATTGAAGTGAATGGTTGTATAGGATAGAAATTTCGGGTTGTGACACAGGTCCTTCTATAATC